CCTTGTCCTCGATGGGGTTGTGGGACAGAGTGAGGGCATGCAGCACACAGCTCCCGTTCTCCCCAAACACCCCGGCCAGCTTCTGGACAAAGTCCCTTCAGGGAAGGGGAGGAAGGATTTGTCCTGAGCTGAGCCCCATGTCCCAGCCCTTGGGCTTCCCCTCCTCCTCTACCTGCCTGCCTGGCTGGGGCTGCAATGGTCAGAGGCCCCCACAACAGGGGAACAGCTCAGGGCCTGCCAGGGAGCTTGTCACCACTCCGGAGTACCTGGGGGCATTCCACACCTTAGGAAGTTGTGCTGAGACAAAGGTCAGCTTCGGGTTCTCAAGACTGGAGCAGCCCACCCTGCTTGGTAGTTAATGGAAAAAGAGGATGGGGCATGGAACACCCTGGGGAAAGGCCATGGAGCTGGGGGTCAGAGGCCTGGGTCTGAGTCCTAGCTTGACCTCCGACTTGCTTTGTGCCCTCTTTTGGCCTTGGTCTCCTCTTCTGTAAAGAGAGGCACTGGATAAGACAGTCCAGAGGCCTATATCATACTCTGAGGTTCTGGGACCCTAAAACTATATCAAGGACACACTACTGCCCAAGGAGGAGGCTGGCCTCACGTCTTAAGCCCGGCGTTGTCCAGAACCAGCTCTTCGAGGCTCCCCGACTTGCTCAGCGTGTGTAGCACCTGTTCTAGCACTTCAGAGCCCTGAGAACAGAGGGGGTCTTGCGATCAGGGGCCAAAAGGGGCACTGCTCCTCCCACCTCGCCAGTCCCTCCTAGTTCCTACCAGCCGCAAGTCCTTGCAGTAGAGTTTGGTGAACCACTGATTGTAGGCTAGGGCTGCTACCATTAGGGCCAAGTCTCTGTGGGGATATGGAAGGGGCAGAAAAGTAGTGAGCAGATAGCTGGGTCAGAAAAGAAGAGACCAAGGATGGGGTGGTTGGGCTGGGGAAGGCCTAGATGGTTAGATGGGGATGGGATGGAGTTGGAGAAATAGAGCTGGGGCTGTGGGACCAGAAGGGAGCTCCTGGGAAAGGCTGGGATTGGGCTGAAGCTAGGAATTTGAGGGTAGAGTCTCTGCCCCATCTGCTTACCGGCTCTCCAAGTGGCTGAAATCCAAAAGATTGAACTCCCGGTTATCTTCAGCATGGTAGATGGTGTCCACATCCTTGGAGAGGTGGAACTGGCTCACACCTGTTCCCCACTTCCTCCTTGGCCCCCTCCCTCCAGGCCCCACCTGTCCCCTACGGGGCCCCTGCCCAACGTACCCATTGAACCTCCTCACGGCAGTGTAGCCCATTGTAGTCACACAGAGCAGCATAGGTCTCAGAGAAGCCACCTGTGGGGCAGGAGATAGGCTGGCTCCATGAAGGTAAGGAGATGGGGAATAGGCTTGGGGTTCAAGAACAGTCAAGGTCACTTTATGGGCCAGTGCTCTTTGTTTTTGTTATGCCATGAACTTCCTTAGGTCTGGGAGCTACGGAGTCCTCAGGGCAGGCAAAGCTCCTCCTCGCCTGCCCAGGCAACACTCCATGCACAAAGGGCTCCGGACATGGGGCAAGATGGTTTAGGGCCTACTTTCCTCACATCTGCCCCTGCTCACCACAGACACTGTGGGTGGTAGATGTTGAAGTCTCAGAGTTGGGGGATGTGTCTCGGGGCCCCTCTGGGGTGTCTGCATTTCCACGCCGGATCAAACACCTGGAAAAGAAACAAGTCATCCCAGAGAGGGCTGGAAAGAGGCTCTTAATTCTCGCATTACAGCTCCTGCATCCCAGGAAAAAGCAGGAGTGGGGACATGAGAGCTCTCCTTCTCCTCGGCCCTGGTCCAGGGGAAGGAGGAAGGGAAGGAGAAGTCTCCCTCTCATCTAATCCCTTAAGTGACCCCTCGTTTGCCACTCACCCAGGGCCAGGGCAGACCTTGGACAGGGCAGAGCTCACATGTCGCGTCACCTGGTCCACACTTTCAGCTGATGGCAGCCGCATGCTCACCGTGCCACGCTCTGTCTCCACCAGGATCTGGGGGAGAGGAAGTTTCAGAGCCTCAGACTCCCTCCTCTCTGCTCCCTCCTCTGGCTGGCCCAGTAGTGGGGCCCAGAGCCCTGGTACTCACCTGGTTCTGACTGAGCGTGTTGAAGGCACGGATCTCCAGGACATTGAAGGAGCTCTCCACCTAGGAGGGATGGAGATGCTCAGCTCCTGGTAAGGACCGGGATTGCCAGGCTTGGGAGGTAGGGAGCATGCCAGGTGCTCTGCTGCTCCTCAGCCCAACTCACCTTGGCTGGGACTTTGAGGGGGAAGAGGTGGAGGCGCCAGGAGGTCAGGGCCTGTAGAGAGGAAAATAATATCAGCAACTCGTGGTGGCTGCTGGGCCTTGGTGCTTCTGCCCTCCTTAAGCCCTTCATCTCTGCTCTTGGAGTACCCCCCAAGCTGATGCCCTATCCTAGACTTCTTCTGGACATCAACCCAGTCCAGCTCTGCTTCCTCCCCCCAGGTTTCATCTCTTCAGTGACCACCCACTTCTGTCTCCTCTGCCCTACCAGCTCCCTGCCCTCTACTGGCCAGCTGCCCTCACCAGCCATCTCCTCACTCCCCACATGCCCAGTGCCCTCACCAGCACTCGGTCCTCAAACTTCTTGGGCTTTGTTTCCAACTTCACACGATGTTGTTGGAGCACAGCCCCTTGGCTCAGGCACCTCCGGATGCTGTCTGCGGGTGGGTGGGGGCCTGCTCAGAGCTTCCTCTTACCCTGGCCACCCCCACCTCCCAGGGCTCTCCAGATAGAGGCAGAGTCAGGGTCAAATGGGAAGAGAGTGAAACAGAGAGACAAAGAAAGGATAGGGACAGAGGCCTTTCCTTCTTGGTTGACTTTTCATACTCTCTCTTTGGGAGTAGGGTGTGGAGAAAACTCTGGCTCCTGATATCCCTGAGTCAGGGGACAGTTGCTGACTGTCTGTGGGAGGGTGTGTCTTACACTTCTGAGGCTGTGAAGAATTTTTCCAACCCATGCACTACAACAGCCATTGACACATACACAGTGAGTCAGTGTGTGGGGGTGTGGGGTATCCCTTTGACTATATTCTAGGTGGTCTGGGTGTGAGTGTCTGTCTTTACTATGAGTGTGCATGCCTCCTGGAGATGTCAGGGAGCCTGAGTGTGGCATTGGTGGGGACAGGTAAGTGTGGATGAGTATGCTGTGGAAAGGGCACAGAGCCAGACAGTTCTTCTGTGTGTGTGTTGGGCAGGGAGAGGAATTAATGTTTAAATGAGCCCCATACCCATCTGCTGGCTGAGCCACCCAGATATAGTGTGTGTTTGTGTATGTGTGCACACATGTGCTGGGGTGTCGTCTCTGTGAAGAGGTGTTTACACACATATCATGATTGTGCTGTGTGTGTGTGCAGGTGTGGGAGATCACCACAGTGCAGCATGCCTCTGAGTATCCATGAGCATCCTGAGCTCTGCGTGGGCTAGCCTGTGCTCCTGTCTCTGGGGGTCAGGGTTCTGGCAATGCTGGGTGGTTCTGAGAGCCATGCAAACGGGAGAGGCCTTGACGTGTGGGTGGTGGGTAGCAAGAAGGGGGTAGACTGGGACAGGGGCTGTGGGAGGCGAGCCGCAGAGACTCTCCTGCTCTTGGTGTTAGCTCCGATCCAGGGCCTCTTCCCTGACCCCCTTCTTTGCCCCACTGGCCCGGGTGCTGCCCAGAGCCTAAGGGGCCCTTCAGGGCCAGTTCCGGGGCGGGGCCGGGAGGAGGAGGGTGTTAAGCCACGCAGTGGTCAGGACCAGGGGCAGCTCCCATCACCGGGTGGGGCGGGCCTGGCCCCGCCCGGCAGGGGAAGCGGGGACTCGCTGGAGGGGAGACTGGACGCTTCGCCGAGGGTGGGTCAGGAACGCCAAGAGTCAGTCCCAGGGAGCGCCAAGGAACTGCACCTGTCACTGAAGGGCGGGACGGGTGGCTCCGGGACAGGAAGGTCCTGACCCGGTGAGGCAAGGCGGGTAGCGGAGGATACTCCGGGGACAGCGATGCCCGGACTGGGATTCAGGGGCTGCCTTGGAGCCGGGGTGCATGGGGTGGGGTGGGTAGGGGGGTGAGGCACCAGGCTGGGGTGCACCGCGGGGAGGAACGCGCTGGGTCTGGGATGCTCCCGGACAGGGCGTCCCAGAGACCGAGGCAGCCTCGTACCTTGCAACTCGCGGGTGAGCTCCACGCTGCCCTTGGCCATGGCGGCCGCTGCTAATGAGGCTGCTGCAGAGGAGCCGCCGCCGCCGCCGCCGCCGCCGCGGGGAAGCCGCGGCACATGCTAGACCCGGCTTCGGCAGGGCCCGGGAGCTGAGCGCTGCGGCAGCGGCCAAGCCCGCTCCAGTCAGGGGAGGCTGCGTGAGCGCTCCTCCCCCCGCCTCGGAGCGCTGGCTCCCCCGCCCCGCCCGTAGAGCTACCAGACTGAGCATGCGCGCCGCGCTGCCAAGCCGCGTGAGACCCCGCGCGCGCTCGCGCCTACCCTCACACCGGTTCCAGCGTGAGAGGTCCGGTGCGCGTCGCCCGGTGTCCCGGCCTTTGGGGCGGGGGACAGCGTCCCCGCTTTCCGTCTACTCAATCTTCGGGCCCCGTGGGCAGAATCCATTTCTTTTGTTTGTAGGCCTAGGTACCTCGCAGGGCCTTTCCCTGTTCCCCACCAGCTCAGGACCCGTCCAGCTTGTCCTTGCTGACTCGGGAGGGAACTCGAGAGCTAGGGCGATGCCGGGAAAGGACCTGGCCAGATCTGGGAGGTGTTAGAGAGTTCATCCTTCCCCACCCTCACCCGGCTTGGCCTGCCTCGGGGATCCCCGTGGCGTCCTGGGAGTTCTCGTGCCACCTTCCTTCCAGCTGGCAGCTCTGCAGACACCTCCACCCCTGAACATCACGCTCAGGTCCTGGAGACAGGGAGGAGGGCTAGGAGATCCAGAGATCCAGCCTGGCCAGACTTCTGCTCTCTGCTCAGCTAAGCACCCCACACTGAGAAATGAACACATCGATTCAAAGCAGTGTAATCATCTGCATTTTATTTGAACCTCATTTGCAAGTTGTTAATTTCTAACTCTGCTCCTTCCACTCTAGGTTCCCTCTCTCGCATCTCCCCTCAAATTCCCGAGTGGCCCGGGCAAAAAATAGCTGTTGGTTTTTGCCAAGGTAGACTCAGCCTTCTCAGCAGGCCTGTCCTGTGTTCTCAGGGGAGACCTTTATCCAAGGCCACAGCAACAGCAGGAATCCCGAGTAAGATGCCACCTTGATGGCAGGGAAGGCTGGATCTTGTCACAGGCAGAACTGATTTTGTGAGGTGAACAGTAAGGTGGGTAGAGGTGGGAAAAGCCAGTGATGAATGCAGGAACAGCACCAGAAGCTAGAGCCCAGCTCTGCCCTGGGGGGCTGTCTTTGGGTCCTCAGAGGCGGGACAGGGCTCCTCCACCCACCACCACTGTCTCCCCAGTAATGTAGCTGGCATCTTCAGAGCACAGGAAAGACACGATGCCCGCACAGTCCTCTGGCTCACCGATCCTGGGAAATAGGGGAAACAAGGAAGGGAGTAAAAATTTCAAACAGTTCTGGCCCCCTCACCTGGCCCATGGGGAATGAAATTTGCTTAATCAAGAATTATTAGATGACTTTTCAGGATCAGTGTACAAGCTTTCTGTCTATCAAATAGGGTTACCACAAGGATATGCTGTTATAATTTAGTATAAGCATACTGTAGTCTATAAAACCCATCATTACTTATAATACCCAAATACTGTAGGAACACATTGTTTTTTTTTTTTTTTAGAGAGCTTAAGACACCAAAATCCAAAGTTATATAGATAAAATGGTTAGCAATTATTTCGTACTTCAAAAAAATTGTTTCCCATGTGCACATACCAAAGTATTAGGGAGTCTGTGTGACAGTAAATGGTGTGTTTAAAATGATTCCATTTGTACAGGTTCAACTTCAGACAACTTTTTTGGGAATCTATAGTTGTTCCTTAAAGTCAGTTTCATTTGGTGAGAATATGCCAATTTTAATTTTATAGTTAGGGGACACTTTAATCTGCCTGCCATAGAATGCTCTAGAGGTGGGCAGAGTGAGTAACTAAAACCTAGAAGGGCTGAATTAGTGGTTCTCCACTCTAGCTGTACCTTGCAGTCATTTGAGAGGCTTAAACCAAAAAAGAAAAAAGAAAAGACAAAAACAAAAGCCCAGATGGTCAAGTCCTACCTTGGGCCAATTAAGAATCCCTGGGAGTGGGCGAGTTTAAATCTGCAGTTTAAAAAGCTCCCCAGGTGATTCTAATGTGCATCCAGGATTGAGCTACATGGGCTTGATATAGGAGCTCTAGGATGACAGTCCTCTAACTTATTAATGAGTTATGAACTAGGCCTGCAGCTCATGTATTGGAATGGCTTTGGGAAGATTTGGGATGTCTGGACCAGTACAGAGTTAGGCATCGCTGGCATTTGTCCTTGAGGGGCAAAATGGAGAAACTAGATAGTGCCCAGAAGCCAGAAGGTAGAGAGAAGCAGGCAACTTAGAGGAAAGGGAGCCTGACCAAGGTGCCTGAACAGTTCACCCAGCTCATCGGGGAGGAGAGTAATTCCTTAGGCAAGGGAGTTTGGGGCTTAGTGAAGCTCTTCATTCCTTTCATTTGGATTGTACATCATCAACCTGAGTTTTGTAAACATGTCTCATTCAAGGGAACTAAAAAAGCAGGTTTTGGTCCCTGGTCTCCATGGATGCCCGGAGGTGGAGGCAATCCCCAAGGTGGAGAGAGGACTCAGGGCTTCTCCCAGAGCTCTGCACTGCTGAAACCCCAAGGTCTCTGTTTACCTTTTGAAAGGGAAGCTGACTTCTTGCTTAGGCCACTGCAGTGACAGTGTTTATGAATTTGTGGTCTGTGAGGCAGAGGAGAGCATGTCTGTGTTATGTGTGGGACTGAGACAGCAGGCTATGGGCTGCTAGGGACCAGAACTTTCCATCTTCATGCCTCTTGGGGCCTTTGCCCCCATGACAGTCTTACCTTCTTATCTTCAGGGTTTGTTTTGTCCTTTTCTCTTGTTCCTTGTCTGTCCAGAACTGCAGGAAGAAGGGAAATCTCTTTTATGTTCAAGAAGAGGAAAGTGAGGAACAGAAAGGGAAGAAACTGCCTGTTCTCTTAGCAACTGAGAGGAAAGATCGAGAGAGACACTTGCCTCCTTCACTTCCTATTTTTTTCTAGCTCCCAGCTCTCCCCACTGCCCTCATCTGTTTCATTTGTTTCAGGTTCTAGTGATGTATTTTGCTGCATCTCTCCAATTCTCATCCACTTAAGGAGAGAGGAAACAGTGTGAGCAGAGTCTGAATACCTCAGTCTCCATTTTACTCAGGAAAGGTGTGGTAGGAGTCTGGCTTGGATAGGACAGCTGGTATAGAGAGGGAATATGGAAAAGTCCCAGGAAGGAGAATGGAGTGGTTGAGAGCTTAGGACTCAGGAACTGGGCTTCCCTGTCCAAGAAGATGGATGCCCTTCAAGAGTTCCAGTGGGCTGCAGAGCTCCACTTCCTCACCATCTTGCTGAAGCTAGTCTTGATAAGTCCAGGTGCTAGGCAGTTCACCCGAATGTTCCTTGGGGCCAGCTCTTGGGCCAGGCACTTGGTGAGGCCCAGTAAGGCTGTTTTACTGACACTGTAAGAGCAGAGGCCCTGCAGAAAGAAGAGAATGGGTTAGACTCATAGTTTCCAGGTCATTCTTCGTTCTAATGATCAGACATAAAGGGCAGTGTTCAGCAGGGATCTCCTGTAAGGAAGGGGCACAGTTAGGAAATTGTCTTGTGGCTAAACCTCCCCTAGGTTGGGGTTTGTGGAGGCAAGGCAACTATTTTGTGGGCAGGGACTTGGTGGTGTGATTCTAAAAGGGGACACAAACTTCTCTGGGTAACAGGAGGGGTGGAAAGATGTGGAGTTTAGGATGGTGTGGAAGGGGCATACAAAAGAATTCTTACGGGAAATGGATGGAAGGCTCCTATGGAGGATATGATCACCACTGAGCCGCCTCTGGAAAAAGAAGACAGCTGACCCTCTTCCCAGTATAGGCCACCACCCTCAGCCCGTGAGGGGTCCCATCTCACTCAGGCTCTCTCTCACTCTCTGTACCCTCGTTTCTCCATTTCTGGCACCACTGCCTTTGTCATCATGGCTGTGGCCTTCACATTAATATGCAGAACCTGAAGCCAAGGGAAGAAGAGGAAACAGTATGAGTGAAGAGCATTAGAGGAGGCATGGCTATGAGGAGTTAGAGTGGGTTCCTAGGATATTTGTCAGAGATGACAAAGATCTCAGGATGATACACCTGCATCTTACACATGAAGAAACTGAGGTTCAGGGAGAAGTAGCTCTCACCAGCTGCTCCACTAGATAATGATATATTAGGTTCAGGTGAGAAAAAAATGGAGCCTGGTTCAGCTTGTTTCATAACCAGCCAAGTATGATTTGGCCCAGAAGGGACCTAAATCCTCAGGGCTCCTTCGGTTTTCAGCTGTGTTTTCTGTGTTTCTTCAAAGTAGATAGAGCCTGGAATTGTCATCCTTCTGGACCTGCCCTAGAGTGGGCCATGCTTCTCAGGGAAAATGTGGCCTGACCTTGGATACCTGGGGTTGTTCTAGCACTTCTCTGGCTTCTAAGCGTAGGGAGTGAGATGCACTTGCTCCTCTAGGGTGGACTGTCTGACTAGACGTGATTAGAAAGTAGGATCATGAGGAGGCACCTTCTGGGGAAGTGGGGGACAGGCTATAATCAGAATCCCCACATCATAATCTAAAACAAATGTATGACCCCTGTTTACATTGTTCTACACAACTGCTTATATTAAAATATTTCAATCTTTCAGAAAAATTGGAAATAGAAATCCAACATATTCTTCACTTAGATTCACCAGTTGTTCACATTTTGTCTCATTTGTCCTCTCTATAGATCTGTACTGTTTTTTAAATGAACCACTGAAACTCAGTTGCAACTTTTCTGAAAGATTTTATGTAACAAAATGAAAAATTATTAAGAACAAAAATAAAAAAGACAATAAAAAAGTAAATTAAAAAAAGAAACTCAGGGCTGGGCATAGCAGTTGATGCCTGTAATCCCATCAATTTGGGAGGCAGAGGTGGATGGATCACTTTGCGGTCAGGAGTTTGATAACAGCCTCAGCAACATGGCGAAACCTTGTCTCTACTAAAAATACAAGCATTAGCAGGGCATGGTGGCATGTGCCTGTAGTCCCAGCTGCTCAGGAAAGTGAGACAGAATAGCTTGAACCCAGGAGGTAGAGATTGCAGTGAGCCAAGATTGCACCACTGCTCTCCAGCCTGGGCAATAGAGGAGACTCCATCTCAAAAAAAAAGTAACTAAATAAAATAAATAAACTCAGTTGCAGATATTACAATGCTCTCTCCCTAAATACTTATCATACATTTCCAAAGAGTAAGGATGTTCTTCTACACAACCATAATCCATTATCATACCCAAGAAGTTTGACATTGATGATGATTTTCTCTAATATATTGGCCCCAATTGTGTCTCGTGTGTGTGTGTGTGTGTGTGTTTTAAAGTCCAGAGTTCAATCAAGGATCAGTCATTGTGTTTGGATTTGATGTACTGTGATATTTTAAAAAACATATAAACTAAAAGTTATAGGCACACCTCATTTTATTATGCTTTGCAGATACTGTGTTTTTTACAGATTGAAGGTTCATGGCAACCCTATGTTAACTGCAGCCATTTTCCCAACAGCATGTGCTCACTTTGTCTCTGGGTGATATTTTGGTAATTCTTGTAATATTTCAGACTTTTTCATTATTATTATATCTGTTACGGTGATCTGTGATCTTTCATGGTTTAATTATATTTATTTGGGGGTACCATAAAACACACCCATAAAAGGTGAACTTAATCGATGAATGTGTGTGTTCTGACTGCTCCGCCCTTCTCCCATCTCTCTCCTTCTCTGTGGGCCTCCATATTACCTGAGACATGTTGATATTGAAATTAGAGCAATTAATAACCCCTACAATGGCCTCTAAGTGTGCAAGTGAAAGAAAGAGTCACACATATTTCACCTTAATTCAAAAGCTAGAAATAATTAAGCTTAATGAGGAAGGCATGTTGAAAGCAGAGGCAGGCTGGAAGCTAGGCCTTGTGCACCCGTTAGCCAAGTTGTGAATGCAAAGGAAAAATTATCGAAGGAATTAAAAGTGCCACTTCTGTGAACACATAAATGATAAGAAAGCAAAACAGCTTTATTGTTGATATGAAGAAAGTTCTAGAGTTCTGGATAGAAGATCAAACTAGCCACAACATTCCCTTAAGCCAAAGCCTAATTAGAAAAAGGCCCTAACTTTTTAATTCTATGAAGGCCAAGAGAGGTGAGTAAGCTGCAGAAGAAAAGTTGAAAGCTAGCAGAGGTTGGTTTAAGAAAAGAAGCCATTTCTATAACATAAAAGTGCAAGGTGAAGCAGCAAGTGCTGATGTGGAAATTACAGCAAGTTATCCAGAAGATCTAGCTAAGAGCATTGATGAAGGCGGCTACACCAAACAACAGACTTTCAATGTAGATGAAACAACCTTCTAGTGGAAGAAGATATCATGTAGGGCTTTCATAGCTAGAGAGAAGTCAATGCTTGGCTTCAAAGCTTCAAAGAACATGCTTATTCTCTTGTTAGGGGCTAATGCAGCTGGTGACTTTAAGATGAAGCCAATGCTCATTTATCATTCTGAAAATTCTAGGGCTCTCAAGAATTATGCTAAATCTACTCTGCCTGTGCTCTATAAATGGAACAACAAAGCCTGAATAACAGTACATCTGTTTATAGCATGGTTTACTGAATATCTTAAGCTCACCATTAATAGCTACTGCTCAGAAAAAAGATTCCTTTCAAAATATTACTTTTCATTGACAATGCACCTGGTCACTCAAAAGCTCTGATGGAGATGTACAAGGATATTAATGTTGTTTTCATGCCTGCTAACACAACATCCATTCTGCAGCCCATGGATCAGTGGGTAATTCTGATTTGCAAACAAGTCTTTTATTTAAGAAATACATTTTGTAAGGCTATAGCTGCCATAGATAGTGATTCCTCTGATGGATCTGGGCAAAGTCAACTGAAAACCTTCTGAAAAGGATTAACCATTTTAGATGCCACTAAGAATATTTGTGGGCTGGGTGTGGTGGCTCATGCCTGTAATCCCAGCACTTTGGGAGGCTGAAGCAGGCAGATCATGAGGTCAGGAGCTCAATACCAGCCTGACCAACATGGTGAAACCTGGTCTCTACTAAAAATACAAAAATTTGCTGGGCATGATGGCACATGCCTGTAATTCCAACTACTCAGGAGGCTGAGGCAGGAGAATCATTTGAACCCAGAAGGCAGAGGTTGCAGTGAGCCAAGATTGCGCCACTGCACTCCAGCCTGGGTGACAGAGTGAGACTCCATCTAAGAAAAAGAAAAAAAAAGAATATTTGTGATTCATAGGGGGAGGACAAAATATCTACATTAACATGAGTCTGGAAGAAGTTGATTCCAACCCTCATGGATGACTTGGAGGGGTTCAAGACCTCATCAGAGGAAGGAACTGCAGATGTGGTGGAAAGAGCAAGAGAACTAGAGTGGAGCCTGAAGATGTGACTGAATTGTTGCAATCTCATGATAAAATGTAAACAGCGGAGGAGATGCTTCTTATGGATAAGCAAAGAAAGTGGTTTCTTGGCATGGAATCTATTTCTGATGAAGATGCTATGAACATTGTTGAAATTACAACATGAGATTTAGAATATTACATGAACTTAGTTGATTAAGCAGTGGCAGTTTGATAGGACTGACTCCAATTTTAAGGAAGTTCTACTGTGGGTAAATGTTATCAAACAGCATACAGGCTACAGAGAAATCTTCTGTGAAAGGAAGTGTCAATTGATGTGGCAAACTTCACTGCTGTCTTATTTAAAGAAATTGCCAGGCCGGGCGCGGTGGCTCACGCCTGTAATCCCAGCACTTTGGGAGGCCGAGGTGGGTGGATCACAAAGTCAAGAGATTGAGCCCATACTGGTCAACATGGTGAAACCCCGTCTCTACTAAAGATACAAAAAATTAGCTGAGCATGGTGGCGCGTGCCTGTAATCCCAGCTACTCAGGAGGCGAGGCAGGAGAATTGCCTGAACCCAGGAGGTGGAGGTTGCGGTGAGCTGAGATTGTGCCATTGCACTCCAGCCTGGGGAACAAGAGCAAAACTCCGTCTCAAAAAAAAAAAAGAAATTGCCACAGCCATCCTAGCCTTCAGCAACACCACTCTAAGTCAGCCACTATCAATACTGAGGCAAGCTGACTTGCCTCCACCAGCAAAAAGATTATAACTTCTAAGGGCTTGGATGATTGTTAGCATTTTTTAGCAATAAAATGTTTTAAAATTAAGATGTATATATATTTTAAGACATAATAATGCTATTGCTCATTTAATAGGCTACATTAGATGACCATTTTAGTGTAAACATAACTTTTATATGCACTGGGAAACCAAAAAATTAATGTGGTTCATTTTATTACAATATTCACTTTATTGTGTGGTGGCCTGGAACCAAACCCACAATATCTCCAAGGTGTGCTTGTACTTAGTTTAAAACTGACTTTCATATGGTCTCTATTCAAACTGTTCATGAAAGATGTTCCTCTATTTTAAAGACTATCAGAATCTGGCTGGGTGTGGTGGCTCATGCCTGTAATCCTAACACTTTGGGATGCCGAAGTGGGTGGATTGGCCAGGAATTTGAGACCAACCTGGGCTACATAGTGAAACCCTGTCTCTACCAAAAAAAAAAAAAAAAATTAGCTGGTCATGATGGCACATGCCTGAAATACCAGGTACTTGGGAGGCTGAGGCACAGGAATTGCTTGAACCTGGGAGGCTGAGCTTGCAGTGAGCTGAGATCGTACCACTGCACTCTAGCCTGGGTAATACAGCAAGGAAAAAAAAAAAAAAGAAAGAGGGAAAAAGACTATCAGAATCGGGAACTAACTCACTGAAGAACATTTTGGCATTCTGGTCTTTATGTGTATGAAACACTGGTAAGTAAATCATAGTATTTTCACATCCTGAAACTTCAGTGTTAGGAAACTCTTGATGACATCTGATGTAGTTGGTATGTTTGTCCCCTCTAAATCTCATGTTGAAATGTGATCACCAATGTTCAAGGTAGGGCCTGATATGAGGTGTTTTGGCCACGGGGGTGGATCCCTTATGAATGGCTTGGTGCCCTCCCTGTGGCAATGAGTGAGTTCTCACTCTGTTAGTTCATGCAAGAGCTAGTTGTTTAAAAGAGCCTGGTATCTCACTCTTGCTTCCTCTCTTGCCATGTGCATGCCTGTTCCCTTTTGCCTTCTGCCATGATTGTAAGCTTCCTGAGGCCTCATCAGGAGCAGATACTGGCACCATGCTTCTTGTACAATCTGCAGAACTGTGAGCCAAAACAAAGCTCTTTTCTTTATAAATTGCCCAGCTCAGGTATTCCTTTATAGCAATGCAAAACAGACTAATACAACATCAGAGTAAAAAGCAAAACCATGGGAGATCATAAAAAATTAGCATTTCCAAATCGTGTGGGAATATTAACCTTAGTAAACAAAGACAAATATTTTAATTAAAGCTTTGTAATTAAAGAATGTATGTGAACTCTATTATGAATATAATGTAATTATATACTTTTCACATAAAACCCAGTATTCTAGCACTTGAATTTAGACATCTGGATCTCAGATTTTCTTGACATTGCAGTTAAAAAGAAAATAATATAGGTTTTTATTTTTATTTTTTACAAGATTGTATGTTATAAAGTGGCAACTGGTCATTTCACCAGAATTAGTATTTTTCTTAACTAGCAGCTTTTAATATTTCCCAACTAATGAAAAATGATTCCTTTCTGGTGGCTGGGTGGGTGTGTAAGTTTAAGTATTGTGGTTGTTGGCATATTAGCTGCCACATATCTGTTGGAAATCAACCAGGCAGAAGAGCATGCTGGGGAAGAAGGCTGGGGAGGGGAGCAGACGGCAGCTAGCAAAGAGCAGATGGAAGCAGACAGAACCAGGAGCAGCAGAAATGAACGAGAAGGGCAGAGACAGAGGAAGCCACCCCCACCCGCCCTTTACCAGGTGCACGCCAGGTGTGTGGCATGTGGCAAAGAGTCCTCACATTAACATTACACTTGACAAATGCATTCTAAAAGCAGAAGAAGTTTGTGTTGAATGTGTTCTGAGGCCCACCCCCTGCTGCTTTAATCCCCTTACCTTGTCCCACACCTCCTCAGTGGTATCCATTACGGTTTCAAAGGAAGGGTTGACGGCAGCATTGGAGACTAGGATATCGATACCTCCATGAAGCTTCACAGCCTAGAGAGACAGGTAAGGTTAGAATCAGGGCTGCAGTAAGTAAAGGGGGTGCATTTATCCATGTTGATAAAAACTTCCTTCTGGGCTAGGCGAGGTGGCTCATGCCTATAATCATGGCACTTTGGGAGGCCAAGGTGGGAGGCTTACTTGAGCTCAGGAGTTTGAGAGAAGCCTGGGCAACATAGCGAGACCTTATCTCTATATTAAAAACAACAACGACAACAAAACCTTCCTTCTTAGGAACTAGCGTCAAAATAACTTCTCTTTCTTAAAACATCTTTTCTTCAAAATCATCCTAAGATCTACTGCTAACCATTTAAGGTTGATTTCTTTCTTTTTTTTAGATAGAGTCTTGCTCTGTCACCCAGGCTGGACTGCAGTGGCATGATCTCAGCTCACTGCAGCGCTAACCTGCTGGGTTCAAGCCATCTCTCTGCCTCAGCCATCCAAGTAGCTGGGACTAGAGGTGTGTAGAGACAAGGTCTTGCCATGTTGCCCAGGCTGGTCTTGAACTCCTGAGCTTAAGCCATCCGCCTGCCTCAGCCTCCCAAAGTGTTACAGGCATGAGCCACCAGGAAATTGGCCTTACTTCTTCTGCCGTCTTTTCTTCCCACCTCCCATTCTTCTAAGGCTGCCTCTGACCCTTTGCTCTTTTCTTTACACTTTCCCTTTGGGGAGCTCCTTCATTCTCATGATTTCAAGTCTCATCTCAAAATCTATTTCCAGACCCCCCCGTCCTTTCACACTGAGTTCTACCCCCATTTCTCCAAGTGCTTACTGTCCAGTTCTCCTTGACTAAGTTACCATTAACTCAAAGTCAGTCTGTTCACACTTACCCGAATGGAAAAACGGGCTTATATAGAGCTGTAGAAAGTTACCACTGGAGGGGCCTTTGAGATAATCAATTCCAGTGTCCTCAAGGTAGAGGTGATAAAACAGGTTCAGGGAATTTTCTCAAGATCACATAGTTCAGTAATGACACACTGGGGCTAGCTAAGAACAGGAGGCCTGCTTATTCTGTTTTTGGGAGAGGTGAAGTGATTTGCTCAGGGTACAAAGCTAGTTAGTGGTGGAAGAAGCGATGTCACTCTTCCACTTTGTAGCACAGAGCTAATTCATAAGAACCCTTTGAAAGTGAGTTGGGTCATTACGAAACTGGCTGCCCAGGAGAGCCATGATGGGAGAAGATACCAGTCTGAATTTAAAGCAATTCCATATTTGGTTATGATGTCATTTTCTGTCTCTCTCTCTCTCTATTTTGACCTGGAGGCATGAAAGATTCAAGGCAGAAACTGAGATTTAAACTGAGAAAGCCAAGAAAGGCAACATCTCACCTCCTTAGTAAGTTATAAGTAGGTAGTGAGGCATGTGCTAGAGTAATGAATGGCCAAGCAGAATCTGCCAAAAAGGTTTTCAGTAAAAAGCCACCCTGAAACCAGGCTGTGCATTTGCCCAGAGCTAGCAATTTTGATGCCTTGGGCAAGTAGCACTAAATGGGCCCTCAATCAACTTTGTGCCTCAGATTTGGCACACAGAGGGGTGTTATTAACAATGTACACCATCTGCTAGCTTCCCGTTTTAACTAATTATTCTTGTTAACTAGGTGCTAAGCTCAGTTGTTTCTACATGGTTGAAGGAATGCCTGGGCTGTCAACATGTAAATCTAACAAGATTTAAAGTCACATAATCTTTTAAAACCAGTATTAATACTTTCTTGCACCCTTCAAATTTTGGTATTCTGGCACAAAGGCCAGTCACCTGCCTTGGCTCTGTATAAGTCTCACCAATGGACTTGTTACTAGGGAGGTGCAGAATAAGTTGGAAAATGATGTGTGCTGTGCTCAGTGCATGTGTGTTTGGGATGGGAGAAGACAGTGGATGGCTCCAGAATCACCTGGAGACATTTCTACTCTGCTGTATACCTCATGCCCCTCTCCTTCCAGGTCTGTCAGCACAGAGATGGGAGGAGATGGGTTTGACTAAACAGACAGCAAAACATAAAAGATCAATGAGGCTGGCTGTGGTGGCTCACACCTACAATTCTAGCAGTTTGGTATGCCCAGTGGGGAGGATTGCTTGAGGCCAGGAGTTCAAAACAAGCCTGGACAATGTAGCCCCAGCTCTACAAAAAGTTTAAAAGATGAACTGGCATGGTGGTGCATGCCTATAGTTTTAGCCACTTGGGAGGCTAAGGCGGGAGGATTGCTTGAGCTCAGGAGTTCGAGGTTACAGTGAGCTGTGATCATGCTACTGCACTCCAGCCTGGGCAACAGAGGAGTCTTCTAAGTCTTGTTCTCAATTGTGTGATCACTATACTAAAGCGGTTAGGAGCTGTTTGCTCTGTGTTCTGATAGTGACACATTTTTGAGAAAAAATATAATCAAGCAGATAAGCAGCTAATTTGGTTTCTTCTTACCACACCACTGAGAAGTTTCGTGGTGCAAATTAGGAGGCCACTGGGTAGTAACCATCCTCAGGACAGTGGTTTTTCTCAAGGCAGAGTAACATGTGGCAATTGGCAGAACAAATTTTGTTTTTGTTTTTGTTTCTGTAATTTTTTTGAGACAGAGTTTTGCTCTTGTTGCTCAGGCTAGAGTGCAATGGTGCCATCTCAGCTCACTGCAACCTCTGCCTCCCTGGTTCAAGCGATTCTCCTGCCTCAGCATCCCAGGTAGCTGGGATTATAGGCATGCACCAGCACGCCAGGCTAATTTTGTATTTTTAGTAGAGATGGGGTTTCTCCATGTTGGTCGGGCTGGTCCTCCAACTCCCAACCTCAGGTGATCCACCCGCCTCAGCCTCCCAGAGTGCTGGCATTACAGGCAGGAACCACCATGCCTGGCCTGGCAGAACACATTTTAAACTGCTGACAAGTATTCTATCATTCTCCTCTATGACAATGGTCATACAAACTACCTGAGAGTTGTTTTTGACTCCTCTCCTATTTCCCATTTTTTGACATGGGGTTGGAAAATCTTGGTTGGTTCCCACTTAATGTGTCTTAGGCACATCTGTTCCAGACCCACCACTACTGCTCTAAACCTGGATGACAGCAACAGCTTCCTCACTGATGCCCTGGATTCAGTGTCTGCTCTGTATATCCTTTCTACAAGAGCCAGATTACCTTTCTTAATAGCCATCTTTCTCTTGCTCAAAACCTCACAAGGCTTCTTATTTCCTATAAGAATGTCTAAACATATCCTTTTAAGAGGACGTATCCGTTTAAGATCCTTAACATACCCTTTTAAGAGGCTATGGCCCGGCATGGTGGCTCACGCCTATAATCCTAGAACTTTGGGAGGCTGAGGTGGGTGGATCCCCTGAGATCAGGAGTTTGAGACCAGCCTGGCTACTTTTTAGTAGAAACCCTGTCTCTACTAAAAATACAAAAATTAGCTGGGCATGTTGGTACATGCCTGTAATCCCAGCTACTCAGAAGGCTGAGGCATGAGAATTGCTTGAACCTGGGAGGCGGAGGTTGCAGCGAGCCGAGATAGTGCCACTGCACTCCAGCCTGGGGAGGGGGGATCTCCATCACGGGGGAGGTGGGAAGAGGATATGGAGGCTCATGGCCTCTATCTTTCCAATGCAGCCCCTTTTCTACCAGTACTCCTAAGCCTGTGCTCCACTGTGGACTGACAGTGCCCCTCTCTTTCCTTCAGTTCCTCTTTGGCTGTCTGCTGGTATTGCAGAGTTATCTGGAACCTCATTGCTATTCCATCTGTCCATTCCCATCCATTCCTCAAAGTTTAGCTCAAGCACCACTTCTGGGGCAGGCCTGCAGGACCTGTTAAGTGAAGCTGATGGGGCCACAGGATGTTTTCCCAGCAGGATTTTGACATTAAATTGCTACATACATGTCATATGGTTAGTCACTAATTGACCCAGACTCCCAAATGGCTCCTTCCACCATCAGGATCAAGGCCCCAATCTTGGGCTCTGTCCAGTGGTCTAGGCCAGGCAAGGTGACTTTCTTGTACTCACATTTGGCTCTTTCCAATGCACATTTGAACATTTGCTAGAATTATCTTATACTGTCTACCATGCCACTGTCTACTATTGCTTAAGGTCCTCCTCTTCTAAGAAGATTTCCAAATTATTTCTGCCAGCCTTCTGATCTGTTAGCACATCCTGTACTTTCCATTTTTCGGTAGATTCTCCCTTCCACTATGGGGAATAAAGTGTGTGCCCTTATCCTCAAGGGGTGTGCCCTTATCCTCAAGGGAAGAGGAGCTTCCTTTGCTGGATGGTTCATATTTTCTTGTGGAGCTGGAAGGTTGGTGTCCACTACTAACTGTGACACTGAAGTTACTTTCTTTGAAACTAAAATCCAGTACCTAATAGTCCACAGGCAGCCAAAAACAGAAGTGAGCTTGGGAGGAATGGGTTGAATTACAGCTCTTTCCTTACTAGCTATGGGACCTTGGGAAGTTGCTCTAGCTATCTGAGCCAGTCTCTGCAGACTGAGAGAATAGTCCTTGCCTTGCTTGGGTTGTTGTCAGGTCTAGAAATAACCTGTGTAAGACTATGAACACAGGAAATGGCACATAGTAGGTGGTTGAAACATGGTGGGCTGCTTCCTGAGGTTCCCAGAGACTTGACTCTATAAGCTGAATAATAGGGGATTATTTATTAGCTCTCATGGGTGGGAACATCTATTTCACGATTGTATTTACCCTTCTCATCTGTCCAATTAGATTGGAAATTACTAGAGAACCAGTACCAGTTGTTTCTCTGGGATATGCAAGGGATGATGCAGGGCTGAGGCAGGAGAATGTTTTAAAATTTTCTGACTGGGATGGGATGATTCTCAGATGTTAGTATATAGACATAATAGAAAGGCACACAATCAAAATGTGCTGGTGGGCTGGTGTGAGTATGCAGAACTCACCATGTTTTAGTTAACAGCACTGCATTGGATCTCACCAATGCTGTCCAGGAAAGCAGGGAAGGAGGCTCAGGCTGGCTCCCTTTACCACCTCCTGGCTCTGTGCCCATTTCTTTGTAGCTTACCGTGGCCACCAGCCGCTCCCGGTCCTCGGCCTTTCCCACGTGGCACACGGTGCCTGTCACGCTCAACCCCTCCCCCTGCAGCGTGGCCACTGCCTGATCCACGTTCTGCTGCTTCCGGCTGCTGACGACCACGTGGGCCCCATCCTGGGCCAGACGCCGGGCGATGGCGAAGCCGATCCTGTGAGCAGAAAGAGACAAAGACTGCCAAGGCCTGTGCAGGGGAAGAGGTTGATAGCATGGGCTGTGAAGTTAGACTGCCCAGGTTTGAATTCTGGCTCTTTCTCTATATGACCTCCACATGTCTCTACTATGTGTAAAACAGGCTTAATGGTACGGCCATTTTTGGCATTCATTTGCTTATTTTTCTTATGATCTTAGACCGCAGCCTCAGTTCCCAAGAACGACATCACTTTCTACAGTTCCCACGGTGACAGGCTTCATCCCCTGTTGGGACTGAGAAGTGAGAAATGAGCTAGGTGCGCAGCAGCCACTTCCATGATTTAAGGGTCTCACTCAGAACAGCCCTGCCTCCAGGTTTCTCCCTTACTAGTCTATATCATTCTTAAAATTCTATCCTTTTTTTTTTTTGAGACAGTTTTGCTCTTGTTGCCCAGGCTGGAGTGCAATGGTGCAATCTTGGCTCACTGCAACTTCTGTCTCCTGGGATCAAATGATTCTCCTGCCTCAGCCTCCCGAGTAGCTGGGATTACGGGCATGTGCCACCACACCCAACTAATTTTCTGTTTTTAGTAGACACAGGATTTCTCCATGTTGGTCAGGCTGGTCTTGTTCACGACCTCAGGTGATCTGCCTGCCTCGGTCTCCCAAAGTGCTGGGATTACAGGCGTGAGCCACCATGCCCAGCCAATTCTATCATGAGTTATTTTTTGGGGTGCGGTGCATATGAAAGGATGGTCTTTGGTCAAAAATGTAAATATTCCTTTGGGAGGAAGAGTTACACATTTTGCAATTGTCAGCCATTAGCATTTTACCTACATTTGTATTTTAGTTTTGTGAAGAGCTGGCATCTAGCAAAGTAGAAATGAAAAATAGGGGCCGGGCGCTGTGGCTCAAGCCTGTAATCCCAGCACTTTGGGAGGCCGAGGCGGGTGGATCACGAGGTCAACAGATCGAGACCATCCTGGTCAACATGGTGAAACCCGGTCTCTACTAAAAATACAAAAAATTAGCTGGGCATGGTGGCGCGTGCCTGTAATCCCAGCTACTCAGGAGGCTGAGGTAGGAGAATTGCCTGAACCCAGGAGGCGGAGGTTGCGGTGAGCCGAGATCGCGCCATTACTCCAGCCTGGGTAACAAGAGTGAAACTCCGTCTCAAAAAAAAAAAAAAAAAAAAAAAAAAAAAGAAATGAAAAATAGGATAGACAAGAGGGGTGGGTGAGAAATAGGCTGGGCAAGGTAGGCCCAGACATACTGACCTAAACAAAAATCTTGACACATGGCTCTTGAGTCCCATCTAGGTAAGGAGGAGGGGTTCCGGGAGACTTTTCAGTGCCCAAATAGAGTGTCTGGAACATTTTTCAGTGTGCTGGAGGCCGTGGGATAGGATTTTGAAATCCAGATTCCCTTGGATTTCTGGTTTCTGGTCTTCCCGGACGCTAGGTGGGGCTGGTTGACTGGGGCAGCCCAGAGCACTGGGGGGCTGGATCGATGGGGCGCCACAGAGGTGGCACACTTGTGCCAGAGGCAGCCGGGATATGAGGGCTGGCAAGGGAGGGCCCAGGGCCAGGGGATTCGAAGGAGATTCAGGTGGACCACATGGCTCCTTTTTTCCAGGGCCAGACTTTGGCGGCGCGTGAGGTCTGAAGACAGGGGCACCAGAGGCAAAGGACGAGAGGCCACTGCCCGTTTCCAGGCATCCAGCGCCTCAGAAACTCCCGCCCGAGCACTCACCCGTCAGTGGAGGCCGTTACGAGGGCCACTTTATTCGCGAGCGGGTCCCGGCGGGTCATCCCGGAGCTGGCCATCCGCACGGACTTCCAAGCCAGGGCCCAGGGACCTAGCGGCGCCACCTTGTGCATGACTCAGACCTGCAAGTCTGGCTTTCACCCCTCCCAGGGGAGGTGACTGATAATAGGGCGAGGGGCAGGACGAAGGGCGGGCCGCCCCCCTGCCTGACCCGCGGCCCTCGGCGCCGCGGAGCTGGCTGTGGCGGTGGGCACCCCCGCCCCCCGCTAGCCACCGCACCACGCAGCCGACTATCTTCGGCGGGACTTTGGCTTGCCTTCCCAGGCTGGCGGGTGATCAAAGCGCTCTCTGTCCAAAGTTTCCTGTAGGGCTCGCCCCTCCCCTGACCCCGACAGGAACCCGCAGACTTTCTCTGCTGCCCTTCTGCATTTGCTTGCCCACGTTTTCTTCTGGAGGAAGTGGGGTTTTTAGTTGGCTGCTTTTGCTTCTTCAAAGCTAAAGATGGAATTCTCTTTCCAAGAAAGTCTGGGTCTATGTATGTGACATCCCACAGGAGGGCAAACGTTTTGAGACTGCCCATGGAGGTGAGGCCTATGGTCCTTATTGAGTCCACCAGGTGAGGCTGGAGGAGCCTGGGAGACAGACCTGATAAGGAGCGGCTGCACTAGGCCTGGCACAGCCCTTCACTCTGCTCAAGGTCTCCTCCATCTTCACGGGCCCTGGAGGGTAGACTATGGTCATTAACCAAACAGGATCTGTTATATCCCTTGCCAAAGGGACTTCCTCCTTTACAGGAGCTAAGTGCCAGGGAGGAGGCTAGAGAGTCCCTCAAGCAGTGGTGGAAATGCAAAAAACTTGGAGCACTCAGGTTCTCCCTAACCACTCTGTCCCCGGGTCTTAGCCTCCATCCTAGTTCAGTAAATATTTGTTGAATGCAAAATCACTTTATGAACTGTAAACTACTAAGCACATAGTAGTTACTGCCACCATGTAGTGATTATTATTGGTGTCCTGAGCCAGACTCTTCATCTGTAAATTACTGAGGGTATGGAATGGATGATGAATAAAGTCCTTGCCAGCTATAAATTCTGTGTCCAAGACTTCAGCCTCCACTTCTGCCAAGTGGGCTGAAATGATCTCCCTCCTGGGTTTCTGGGAGAATGAATAAATCTGGATGGCTTATGGTACACTGCAGAATGGCCCCAACAGACCCAAATGCAAGCATCTGAATTGGCTTAACCCACTGGCCTCCAAATGTCAGACTGAGAAGCAGTGCTGGTCCATGGCAACGTTTTCACTAGTTCAAGGCAGAATGAGAAAATTAAAGACATTACAGTGAGTTTCGTAAAGCTAAGTGTATTTAATAGTCCTTTATTGTGGAGTATATGTTTGCTTCCTTTTCCTTTTTTTTTTTTTTGGTGTTAGTCTTTTCTTTCAGAAAAGATGATGAAAGCAGATGGGTAGGTTTAGAAATGTGTTGGTGAAATCACCAGTTTGGCAGCCTTATGCCAGTCCCTACAATTAGAGGGGAAAGAATCCTGGTTTGTGAAATCCAGTTCAGGGGCAACTTTTTAATAGAATTCATGCTTGTTCAAGATTCATTTAGTATATATGTAGGTCAGCTGAGCAGTTGAAAAAGGATTTCAGCATTCAAAAGTGGGTGAATGGCTAGCAAGTAATAGAACAGGCCTGCGCTGGATTTATAGTGTCTTCCTCAGCCAAGAAGTTGCAGCTGCAGTACTCAGCTTTGGTACTCAGCACATCCCGATGAGATAAGGGAGCTTAAGTATTATTTTCTTCATGTCCAGGGAAAACTGACTCTGACTGGTGCCCCTCAGTCTGAGTCTCATGAATTATTGACAGAGGCTGGAGGGCACCACACTCCTTGTCCTCTTGCACTGTTTGGAGCTAATGCACTGTGGGAACTCTTCCCAGGGCTCCCCATCTGTGTGGGGGCCTGTGGGAGGGTACACAGGAGGACTGCTGCAGGGGTTCTTAGGGCTTGGTTCAAAGGGACAGGGCTACAGGGCACGTTTGACTCTCTCTTCACCTTCTTTTTAGAGGTAGACAGCCAGACAGCCAAAGGATTCTGGGAAAAGAGAATTCTGGCTTGGGAGCTTGGTGAACATCACACAGCCCTTTCTTTCATGGGCAGGGTTGCTATTTGGCCTCCAGCACTATTTCTTTTGCAGAGAGCACAGGGGAGCTTAGGGAGGGGGCCTGTGAGTAGAAAAGGATAGAAGGCAGTCAAGAAGTATGGATATCTCTAGCACTACTCCTCATCAAGCTGGCTTATTGGAGATAAGAACAGGAAATCTTGGGCCAGGTGCAGTGGCTCATGCCTGTAATCCCAGCACTTTAGGAGGCTGAGGTGGGTGGATCACTTGAGGTCAGGAGTTTGAGACTAGCCTGGCCAACATGGTGAAACCCCGTCTCTACTAAAAATACAAAAATTATCTGGGCCTGGTGGTGCGTTCCTGCGATCCTAGCTACTCAGGAGGCTGAGGCAGGAGAATTGCTTGAACCCGGAAGGCGGGGGTTGTAGGGAGCCAAGATTGCACCACTGCACTACAGCCTGGGCAGGAACCAGAGACTCCATCTCAAAAACAAACAAACAAAAACCAGGAAATCTTTTGGCAAAATACATACATATGTGGGAGCATCTCTTTGAAATGGGAACTGTAATAGGCAATGGGATTGTTCTTGTATGGAGGTGGTAACATCTGCCTATCTTGAGGAAAAAAATGCTTCTATGATTGAGGGCTCTACTACCATCCTTTTCAAGGGCTGCCTGTGGTCCAGAAGAGAATTCACCTGGGGTGGAATTTAAGTCTTGCATTTTGCAATAGCTGTCTTAGTTTGAATGTTGAGTCATGCATCACTGAAACGAGTCAGGATTAGGGAATGTGGGAGGGCTGGAGTGGGGTTAGGACAACTGCCAGGCAGAGAAAGTAATAGTAAGAGTGTTAACAGTAACTATTTATTGGGTACTTACTTACTAAGTGCTGGCAAGTGTTAAGTGCTTTTTATAAATCTTATTGAATATTTTTAATCTGGTGAAATGGGTGTTTTAAATTCCATATGTGCAATCAGAGTAAGTGATGACAATCTCACCCACTGTCTGTGTTGTATAGCTACACTTCATTTTTCTGGCATTGCTGGCAGATTGATAGTTTTCATAGAAATCAGTTTTCTCTGAATTGGAATTTTAACTTTCAGGATCAGTGTGTTTTTCAAATCAACACATATATTCATTGACTTATAAAAATAACACCTGCTCATGATTTTAAAAAGGGACAGAAAGTTATGTGAAAAGTGAAAAGTAACTCTTCCCTATGATGCTTTTACCTTCTTCCCATATAGCTCTCAGCTTTGTTTATCCTTTGAGAAGTGTCCTATAATTTACATGCATTGTTCTTTTAAAAATTGTTCCCACAAATGAGATGACACTATACATTCTGTCCTTCAAATTGCCTTTTCTTTATTCCTTTCCCCAATCTCCCTTTTATTTCTTTTCAAAATATTTTTAAATTATTATACTTCAAATTCTGAGATACGTGTACAGAATGTGCAGGTCTGTTACATGGGTATACATGTGCCATGGTAGTTTGATGCACCCATCAACCCATCATCTACATTAAGTATTTCTCCTAATGCTATCCCTCCCCTAGCTTCCCACCCTCCAACAGGTCCCAGTGTGTGATGTTCCCCTCCCTGTGTCCACATGTTCTCATTGTTCAACTCCCACTTATGAGTGAGAATATGTGGTGTTTGGTTTTCCATTCTTGTGTCAGTTTGGTTTCCATTTCCATTCTTGTGTCAGATGGTTTCCAGCTTCATTCATGTCCTTGCAAAGGACATTAACTCATCCTTTCTTATGCCTGCATAGTATTCCATGGTGTATTTTTGCCACAGTTTCCTTATCCAGTCTATCATTGATGGGTTCCAAGTTTTTGATATTCCAAACAGTGCTGCAGTAAACATACGTGTGCATATGTCTTTATAGTAGAACGATTTATAACCCTTTGGGTATATACCCATATACATGGGTTTATGCAATAAATATATGTGTGCATTTATCTTTACAGTAGAATGATTTATAATCCTTTGGGTATATACCCAGTAATGGGATTGCTGGGTCAAATGGTATTTCTGGTTCTAGATCCTTGAGGAATTGCTACATGGTCTCCCACAATGGTTGACTTAACTTACACTGCCACTAACAGTGTAAAAGTGTTCCTATCTCTGTACATTCTCTCCAGCATCTGTTGTTTCCTAACTTTTTAATGATTGCCATGCCAACTGGCATGAGATGGTATCTCATTGTGGTTTTTATTTGCATTTCTCTCACAACCAGTGAGGATGAGCTTTTTTTCATGTGTTCATTGGTCACATAAATGTCTTCTTTTGAAAAGTGTCTGTTCATATCCTTTGCCCACTTTTTGATGGGGTTGTTTTTTTTCTCGTAAATTTGTTTAAGTTCTTTGTAGATTCTGGATATTAGGCTTCTGTCAGATGGATAGATTGCAAACATTTTCTCCCATTCTGTAGGTTGCCTGTTCACTCTGATGATGGTTTCTTTTGCTGTGCAGAAGCTCTTTAGTTTAATAAGGTCCCATTTGTCAATTTTGGCTGTTGTTGCCATTGCTTTTGGTGTCTTAGTCATGAAGACTTTGCCCATGCTGTGTCCTGAATGATATTGCCTAGATTTTCTTCTAGGGTTTTTTTTTTTATGGTTTTAGGTCTTACATTTAAGTCTTTAATTCATCCTGAGTTAATTTCTGTATAAGGTGTAGGGAAGGGGTTCAGTTTTAGTTTTCTGCATATGGCTAGCCAGTTTTCCCAACACTATTAAATCAGAACTCCTTTCCTCATTGCTTATTTTTGTCAGGTTTGTCAAAGATATCAGATGGTTGCAGATGTGTGGTGGTATTTCTGAGGCCTCCGTTCTGTTCCATTGGTCTATATATCTGTTTTGATACTAGTACCATGCTGTTTTGGTTACTGTGACCTTGTAATATAGTTTGAAGTCAGGTAGCATGATGCCTCCAGCTTTGTTATTTTTGCTTAAGATTGTTTGGCTATATGGGATGTTTTTTGATTCCATATGAAATTTAAAGTAGTTTTTTCTAATTCTGTAAAGAAAGTCAATGGAAGCTTGATGGGGATAACATTGAATGTCTAAATTACTTTGGGCAGTATGGCCATTTTCATGATATTGATTCTTTTTATCCATGAGCATGGAATATTTTTCCATTTGTTTGTGTTCTCTCTTATTTCCTTGAGCAGTGGTTTGTAGTTCTCCTTGAAGCTGTCCTTC